TCTTCGTCGACGTTCTCGAAGGCCTATGTCCCCGGTCCTGAATTTGACCTTAAGCTTTGTTCCTGCATCCATTGGTCCATGTAGGTAGTCCTTGAACCCTATTCCTTCCTTCAACATTCCGTACACTTCTAGACCCTCCTTATCCTTGGATTCTTTCCTCAGATTCTGTTCTTCTCTCTTGGCACAAGCAACAGATATCTTCTCCTTGAACCCCTGTAGACCCTCCGTTTCCAGCGTTTAAGCTTCGTCGATGTCGAGCCCCTTCCATACGTCCTCTACAACCTTGACCCATTCCGTGGGTTGTCTACCCCTCTTTTTGTTTGCCCACTTCGCCTCCCATACAATCCTCGGCAACCTCTCCTGTCCCATCCCGCACATGCGATACTGCCAGGTCAGCTTCCTCGCGTCTCTTCCCGACCGTAGGGATTGGATCCCCAATAATGCCCTCACGGCTGCATTACTTGTGCGCCTGGAGCATCCTAGGATGGTTTTCGCTGCTTTCATCTGCGCCGCCTCGAGTTCTTTCACTACCTTCTTAGTTCCTTCCCATACTTCTCCGGCGTACTCTAGCGGCGGTACGATTACGCTCTTCAAAACCGTCAGGGGGGGAGGGGTTACGCAACGCATACCCCGTGATGCTGAAAAGCCGCGGAGTTCTTCTTCGGCGAAAGTAACATAGAAACACCACGATAAGGTTGCAATCTCCAACGAGTCTCTGCCTTTGTGCTGAGGCTGCTCGTTCTTCCCGTCACCCCGCTGTAGGAACCAACATATAACCAGAGAGTAGCTTAGCTGATCCATAAACGCCCCCTTCAAATCGGAAGCACCCGTGTGCACTGACAACGAACGCCACCAAGGGCTGCTTTCCCAAACACACGCGCCACGTACCCCTTCTCGCTGGTAGTCCCGCAGGTAACGGTTGATGGAAGGGTTGATGAATCCGCCTTCCTCGAGGTCGAACGGGACCAGTTCTCCTCGCCAGGGGGGGTCCTCGATGTGCGGCTTGAGGTCCTCGTAGTCAATATCCTCCTCCTCCTCATCGGGGCCCATCATGATCGCTCCACCTCTCCTCCTTCCACGCCCCCCGCCGCCGCCGCCGGCGTGCGGTCCTTCCCCGTCCGAACCGACCCGCATGGCCTTGATCTTCTCGTTGAGCAAGTCCTCGTGCCCCCGCTTTCGGCCACGTCCGATCGCTGTCGAGCCGGCGGTGGCAGGGTTCGACAGCAGCTGCAGCTCCTTCCGTCCCCCGCTCTCACCCCCTCGGCTTCCCTTTCGCCGCCCCCACGCGCCGGGCTTAGAACTATCCTCTTCGTCGCTGGTGACGTAGTCGTGGTCGCAGGTCAGCAGTCGGGGCGGGGAGAGGGACAGGGAGTTAGACCGCTCTCTCCGGGCCGGCATCGGAGCCGGGTAGCGCCCTTCCAGCCGCCCAGTCTTCCTGCCACGCCCACCGTCTCCGCCGCAGTTGCTGCCGTCGCTGCCGGGCGAATACGGTCGGTGATGGGTTGGAGGGGTACGGCCACGCTTGAGCCCGCCTGCCCTCATCGTTGCGGAGTCAGCGTTGGGCGTCGCGCCCCTCGGGTCTTCCGCGTCCGACATCCACTCGTTGTCGGAGACCGCCGCCGCTGCGCCGGCCGAACCGATCCCGTCGCCGGTTCTCCTCCGCGCGGTTGGTTGCGACCTTGTGATCCCGGCCCCGCCGTACCACCCACCGCCGGTGATCCCCAGCCCCGCCCTGCCGCTGGATGCGGCATCTCCGTCCCGCGCGGACGGTCCCTTGTCCTTGCCGTTTCCTTTGCTCCCGTTGGCGCTTTCATCCCCGCGGCTGTCGCCGCGACCGCCCTCTGTCTTGCGGTACGCAGCACCTCTGCCGTTGGAAATCAACGACGCCGTCAGGTTCGGCGGGGAGCAGCGCTTTGTCTCGGGCCAGCCACCGTCGAAGCCCGGCCGCGCGACTTTCGCTTCCGCCGGGGCGGCTGCCGGCGGCGCCACGGAAGTCGCCGCCGCCGCCGCCGCCGAGGGTTTCCTCAACGGCGGCAAGCCGAAATATCTCCGCTGGAACGCGTCCTCGTCTTCGTCGGAGGAGGATTCGGGCAACGAGAAGAGCGATCGCGACGGAGCGCGCGGAAGGCCGCCACCACCGTTGCTGGTGCCCGCCCTCTTCTCCTCCGGCTTACTGTTAGCCATCAGAGACTGCCCCCCGTACTGAGAAGCTCCTGTTGCCACCGCCCGCCCGCTCGCTGCGCCGCCACCGCCGCTGGAAAGAGAAGCCCGCGGCCGCCAGGCCGACGTCGGCCCAGCGTTTGCTGCAGCCCGCGCCCGCGGCGGGGGCGGCGACACTGCTGCCGCGCGGTTGCCGGCCGATTTTTTCAACATGAGCTCCAGCTGCCGCACGAACGGATTGTCCTCTTGGTCGTTGGAGGGTTCGCCTGGCTCCGAGCTTCTCCCGAAGGGCGGGGGCCGTGGACGTCTTCCGCCCCCGTTGCTCATTTTGCCTGTTGCTCTCAGGGTTCAGACGTCCATGTCCCTGGGAATCGCGAGACAAGTATGTACGTCATACAGGGAGGGGATGTCACCAGGTGGGCAGACGGGGGACAGGCACGTGAGTAATGAAGTAGAGAGCCCGACGGGCCGACGCACAAGGAACTGCCGTTGCTGCAACAGAGCAGTGCCTGTTCGAAGTGAAATCTCGGCAAAAACAGAGCAAACCATCACTGACCTCCGAATCCCATTTTCTACTATACGACAGGAGCTAGCGGGAGACTGCTACTGCTGTGTAGGAAAACAAGGTCAAGCCGTACTGCTGTACTGTTTACAGCAGTACAGTTGTAAGTTCAAACCTCGCTCGCTGATGCTGCAGCCGTACTGCTGTTGTGTTGAAGGTTACGCACACGGCAGAGGCTTATAAAGTTGGGATGATGACGCACATTCATCGCGCATCGCATGCTCGTCATCTAGCTAGAGCAGGTTGGTGAGAGGTGTCAGGCCTCTAGTTGGCAGGCCACTCATCGTGCGGAGATATGCTGACCAGCAGCCAGTGCAAACAGCAGTCGGCGGTTACAAAGGCGAGAACTCTCCACTTCCAGAGACATCGACAGGATGATGCTGCGCTGCAGATCACCTGCGCTAGATCATTGCTCATTACAGATCAACTAGGCTCGCATTCCTCACCACAAATTCGCAGCAGAGTCGGGTCACCCTCCGGCGTACTGGCGTTGTGTGTTGTGCCGGGAGAGCAACACGAGCAGGGGGGGCGCAAATGCAGGGAGCCGGTAAACGAGCCCCATGGGTATCGTTTATTAAACGAGAAACGAGACCCCGGGGACAAAAACCGAAGAAATAAATCGAAATCCCGAATTTTCACAGCAATCCACTACAACAATCCACTTTTCTCGTTTACCCGGGTGTTGAGAGCGTAGGAGTTGCTGGTGGGTGAATGGAGTGCTTCCCATAGTGCTTAGGCCCCAGTGCTCTGAGTGTCGCGTTGTTGCAGTAGTATGGAGGTGGCTTTATGGGGGTTCTCTGTGCTGTTAATATTTGAGGAGTGGCCAAAATCGGGTACACCCGGTCCGTATCCGGCCATAATCGGGTACACTGGTTATACACAGCCGACAGCGCCCTCCTGGCGCTAT